TTTTCAAAGAAATTAAAAAAAGCATTGTACTCTGGAACTCCATAAATTCTGATTTCAAGTCGCCTATTACTCTGCAAATGCTTTCAACCTACCTTGTACCATTGTTTAAGCCGCGTTTTACAACTTTTTGTATGGGTTTCCTGAAAGCTGACTTTTTTGAAGCCATTTTTTCTATACGTTCACTATCTGAAAGATTTACTGTCCCAAATCAAGCTGGATGCTATTTTCGCACCCGGAACTTGTTGACGCAGCTACCGACGACAAGTAAGAAGATCGTGGATGTTTGAAGGAGCGAGAGGGACAAATGCAAACTTATATGCTAAGATATGCAAAAGGGCCATCTAAGCATCTAAGCTGAGCTAAGAAAGTGTGTTCCAACTCGAAGTGTGTTTTAACATTTCCTGAAATTCCAAAATTTGAAGTGTATTCCAATATTTCCTGAAGTGTCGCATCAACAAGATATAACTATTCAATCTCTATCAATTCGTGAAGTTACACAGCAGCAAAGAGCAATAAAGGCTGTTGAGCTCCACTTGAAGGTGCGTAGGATGCTCAGGGGAAGATAAACTGGAAGGAAATCGGGGAAAGAGTAATCGTAATTGTCTCAATGTACACATAAAAGTTTTTGTCGTATAACAAGCAAATAGATAAAAATTTAGTTTTAAATAACAGTGGTGTGTAAGCAAAGCTCATTGCTGGCTAAGTCTGAAGCTTAACCTCCATCGTTTGCGTTTGCTGCTCTTACTCTTATCTCGCAATATTTTTCAAACCAAAGTTTCTTGAAGATCTTTTCAGTATCATATATAGCAAATGCTACGTCTTATTCTATGCGCTAAAGGTTTTTTGAGAAATAAAGATGTCAAAATAAAATTTGCAAGTCGTAAGTATTCGTAATGAAATTTGTTCAACAAAAATGTCTTACTGTTGGTCAGAAAAAAAGAAGGCACTAAAAATGTATATCGTTTTCTCACATTTTCTCCCAAATTGGCAATGTTTCACAAACAACAAAGGCGATACATCCTTACAAGACTCACATAAAGCTCATAAAGCAGCAGAACCCACTCTAGTTGAATTGGTTTTTTCTCAAGATAAGAACCAGTAATTAGAGCAAGAGATTTGCCTAGATACAATCAAACCGTCATAGAAATAAGATCAAGATTATGATTAAGATTCTGTATGAGAATTCAGAAGAGTATATCTTTACAGACAGCACAAAAACTGTTATTCTAATCATTCCACATTTGCAAATATTTTCTAGGACTGGGATTATACTCTTCTGCGTCCTCAAATAGTATCTTAATTTTAAAAGCTGTGCTAATCAACTCATTTCGAAATTAATTTTCAATTTCTAATTTTAGACTGAAATGAGACTCTTGTGACTCTGCAGCAGATTATACGAATGCATGGAAATGAATTAACAATATGAGAAAAAAGTGCACGACTTAGGACACGAGCGTTTATTCTCAAATAATTACATAATATTTGCGTTCAGTGATATGAGTGAGGAAGAGTCGAGTGGAGTCCTGAACTGTTTGGTTGGTAAAATTTGACAACAACAAATCTGTGTACACTTACGAAGCACATAAAATCATGCTCGAAACGCTCACAGACAGACTCCCAAGTCATTATAACCTGAACGTAAGTGCATATAAAGTAATCTTTTCGTGTCTCGTAAGCACTAAAAAAGGCTCTATCATTTTGCAGCTGAATGCATTTGATCTTTGCAATCTTCAGCGATTAAAAAACGCTCGTGCTGTCTCGTAGAAAGTAAACTTTCTAAACGGCATAACATCCTGCTGACAAAGATCGTTAGAAGCTTCTGGCCGCGATGCAGCTTTACATCCCCTTTGAAAGGTCAAAGGTTTGCTCTCCTTATTCTAGCCTAACGCAAGCTCTCAGAAAATAATCAAAAACTACAAACCAAGTTTTTTGCCGTACTCAATATTCGCCAATTCGATGGACAGAGCAAACCCTACAATATATAATGCAGTTATTTCTCTGAAAGTGCTTGTTTTTGTATTTCAAATTTTTTTGATGCTATCCAATTATTTGTCTATGCAACGTCAACCAAAGAGCAACTTGGGTGTCATTCGATGCAGCTTTCTCTCCTCTCTCTGAAGTCTTCTGTTTTGCATTTAAAGTTTTCGGAATGAGATCAATCGTGACTCATGTTTCTAAACACGCTCCAGGACATGCCTGATTAGAGGTTCAAGGCGGATCGAAAACCTTGTCTTAAAGTGCTTGGAACGGATTTTTATAGCTTGCATGGAAGAAGCGGCTGCGATCGCAACACTTTTGGTAGTCCGTATTTTGCTGAGAGTGACGTAATGAGACTTTGCTCAGCTTCGAGGGTTCCGTACTCACGTAGACCTCTGGAATTAACAGACAAGGATATAAAGAGATAGGTGGTTGCCACCTAACGCACCCGTAATCTTCTCAAGTTTTGAATTTCGTCTTTTGAAAGTTGTAGAACTGCCTTGCATCTACAAGGTAACTTTGATCTGCTGCGTTCAAAAGTTCTCGGAAATCAAATGGCACTTAGGTATAAAGAACCCCTTCGATATGTTTAATGATTGTTTTATAGATTTATCAGCATTCAGAATGCTCTTTCTGAAAATGTTATTGCTCATACTTGTGGTGTCTGTGCACGGTGGAGCTATAAGCGCCACCTATAATGTCACTTATGATCCTGACGTGAGACACTTGCTTTTTCGTGTGATTGCTGTCCTGAGTTTACAATTTGCAGTGCGTGAGGATTTGCTGGGAAAAATACAAGGAAACACGGAAAGGACAATATTCCGCAGCATCAATAAGTTTTGGCGACACACTTGCACTCAAAAATTGCACCAGCAATTGCACCACTCCAGCCACTACACCATCGGTCGCAGTGGCTGCGCAGTAGTTTAATTTCCAGCATATTTAATGGAAATAAACTCTTTTGTTGTATGAAGCGTGTCTAGTTTCAGCTGTTCCCATCTAAACCAGCGGAACAAAGCTTCCATCAGTTCCTTACACTTTCTCAAACTTCTCATTGCGTTAACTGCTGGACTTCAAAGCGCAACAATATCCATCTCGACATTTTCGCCTGCTTTGAGTCTTCCCAGAAAATTCCATGTATGTTTACGTAAATGCTCAGCCATAAAATATTTTTCATTTTGTAGTGCAAAGTGTAAAGTAAATGCAATGTCTCGCCTTATCGGTAAAAGAAAGGTTAAGAGAAAAACGGGCTTGCTCTCGTACTGGATGCAGTAGATTTTGTTTCGAATCCCAAAAATTATCTAATTCTATAGGGGAGAGGAGGGGGGGGGGTAGGTACAGAGAGAAGGGCACCGTTACGTTACCTTCCGTTTACTTGAAGTTGCAGTTGGTAAAACAGGATCTTTTGAGTCTTATTCTATTTAATTATTGTTTTAGAACACAAGTGCTATAGGCCATATTTGTCTGAAGCTCCTCTTTTTGTGCATATTTTCGAAGACGAGAATAGCAAGCCATGTTGACTTCATCTTTTACTATGATACCTCCTACCGGCGGAAGCATCAGAAGACTGTTATTTATCATGTATGTAGATTAAAAGGAAAAATAATCATACCCTGAAACAGCACATATTCTGATTTCAAGTTACCTATTACTCTGCACATGCTTCCACTATCCTATACCGTTGTGTAAGCCACGTTTTACAACTTTTAATGTGGGTTTTTTGAAAGCTGACTTTTTAGGGCCATTTTTTCTATACTGTCCTAATTGGAATTTTTGCTGTCCCAAAAAAATAATCAGCTGGATGCGAGTTTCGCACCCGGAACTTGCGGACGCAGCCACAGACGACAAGTGGGAAAATCACGGATATCTGAAGGAGTGACAAGGACAAATGGAAACCTATGTGTTCGGATATGCAAACGGGCGAGGTACGTTAACCATGCGGCTGAAACGGCTAAATTAGCCATGGAGCGCGGATTGTGACTAGAGCAGATTTCCTCACCTGAGTCCAATTTGCTCTCTTCGAGAAAAAGTTCTGGACAGAACTTTGTTCGCATACACTTCGGAGCGGGGCGGGCTGTGTTCTACTTGCTGTTGTCGAGTGATAGTGTTTATATTGATTTTTTTGCAAAGCTTGAGCTACGGGGTGGGATTTGGTACAGATGGGTAAGTAAATGTGCTGATAGCGAAAACATAATGGAGAAGGGAATTTAACATGTCGAAGTGGGGCAGGGACACGGGGATCTTGTATAAATTAAGAAATGTGGATTTTACTATAACGTATCGAAGGAAAGGCCGAGTCAGGTATGCCGGCCAGAGATGCCAAGCACAAAAAAATTTCGACACAAGATGAAAGTCTGTAGTGTAAACAGTACAAAATTTCTTTGGATCGTTCTTATCATCACATGCCGTCACTTCCCATGCAATTGACCCAAAACAAAAAAAATGTCCCATGCCAATAACGCGCTCCGCTCGAAGCCGCGCTTCACGGCGAATCCAGTCGTTTTAGCGTCGTGTGGTTACCTTACGTCCAAACCGGCCATCTGAGCTGAGCTAACCTTTGATTCAACTGGCTTGGCTTCGGGAAGGCGGGGTTTCGTGACCTAATTAGAGCTGCTCGCGCCCGCGACGCACCTGCGTCGCTCTCGGGCGAGTCCTCTCTGACCATTACCTAGCCTTAATTAGGTCACGAGGCTCCGCCTTTTCGAAGCCAAGCCAGTTGAATCAAATGGTAGGCAAATGTGTAACAGCTCGAAGTGAATTCCAGAATTTCCTGAAGTGCTGCACCAACAAGGAGTCAAAGGAGTCAAACAATTTATCCTCTACCAATTCGTGAAGTTACACAACAGCAAAAAGCGATAAAGGCTGTTGAGCTCACACGTGGAGGTGCGTAAAATGCTCAGGTTGTGGGAAAATAAAGCGAAAGGAAATTGAGAGAAGTTGCGTCCATCATATTTTGTCTGTATGTACATATCGAAAAAATATCGTTGAGTGACAAGCAATTATCAATATTTCCTTTTATTTTTTTTTTGTAAAATTTCAAGGGTAGCAAGGGTTGAATACCAGTCAGGTGGAAGCAAGCTCATTGCTGACTAAGTGACATCCTTGCTGAAGCTTAACCTCCATCGTTTGCTTTTGCTGCTTTTACTCTTATCACGCAAGGCACTTTTTGGGAAAGACGAGGGTTTGGGAGCGCTCATCAGGGTGGGGACCCGTAGTGTGATCTCGTTCTGCGATTCCCTGCACGGTTCAGATCTAGCACTCTCTGGCTGCTCATCTGATACACGACAGAAAGATAGATCTCTGAAACAAAATGAAAATTATAGGAATTGTAGGACTGATATCAAATAGCTTACTTGGTCACATCTTCTACTTCTCCATCACCCGAAAGTTTCAGCGATCGAAGAGATCGGGTATCTTGCTGGCGACTCTGCAAATAAGGGTTTAGTTATTCTAGATCCGAATCTCGTCAGAATTTGTGGAAACTTTGTTAACAACTGATTTGCTTCTCCCCAGATTCCATGTGTGGTCACAAATTCGGAAAAAGAAATAAATGAATGTAAGCGGATAAGAGATGCTTCCTATGCTGTTGCTAGGTTTAGCCAGACCACTAGAATCAGTATGGTCACATGATCAAACATATATGCATATTTACATTCGCATCATTTCATATGATCATATGTGTCATTGCACCACACTCCACCTTTGGCGTTCTTATCCTGGATTCTGGGATGGTACGACCTTTCAGGTAAGTGTTTCCGATGTGTTCTTGATATTTTCTTTCCTTTTTCGGTACTAATTACCTCAAATTGATGTAATCGATAGCAATCGTTAAGTCTCTTTCGTTTTTGCGATTGCAAATCCAGGATGGGGACGCCAAAGATAGACTGTGTGTGCAGTGACACACATGATCATATGAAATGATTCGACTGTACATAGTAATTTGACTAGCTTCTGACTTAACTTTCAAAGCACCTAGGAGAACATGAAAGACGTTTTACATTCAATAACCCCAGCACTACCTCCATTTCAGCTACTAACAGTTAGATGAGAGCGCCAATCATGGCCAATGGGTATGATTTTGGACGATAGATGACAGGTCCGCCCCTTGTGCAGACTCCGCCCATTCTGTGAACTATCTAATCAAATAAATTGCGCATTGAATGCTTTCGCGATATCTTCTCGTGACACAAACATTCATAAGTAAATACAACTATGTAACTCCTTTTTAAGCAATCTAAAAGCGGTTTGTTCTATAATGGGTATTTCACTGTTTTCCATAGATTTGTTGTCGGTCCACAAAACAAGGGCTTTACAAGAATTTTCTTCCAGAAAAATTACTGCTTGTAATGCATTTAACTATATTCGGTATTTCATCACTTTCTCACATCTTCAAAAGTGAGTCTGGAAGCTCTTATTCTGCCAATTTCAATAAACTAGACTGTGTGAGGGAAACGAGGTTGTATGAGTTGTTGTACGGGTTAATGTGTTGATTATTTTCAGCAGGTATTGTAATCATCACCTCGGTTTTGATTTTTAAGTAAAAAATGGAACTTACCGCATCAAGGTAAGGATTGAACGACTGCACAGAATGTCTATCGGCTTGGCTAAGACTTTCCATCATCTCTTGGTAAAGCTCATTCCACACAACATCAGCCACTTTCACTCCACAAATCGGCTCGATTATGTGCACGGTCTTCTTACCGTATAGCTGCAAAAGAGAACACATCTGCAGTTACTCGTATTATTTATGGGTTATTTCCCTCGGTCCCCGCTCGCATCGCTCATAGCGGCATCCAACTTGCTCAAGCTATGGCACTTGGAGACAATAGTGGCAAAAAATGCGGCCGCGAAGATGAATGGAGATATTTGTGCGCGAGTGTGACAAATCCTGACCCGTGTCGCTATTAAAGGACGTGCGGTGAGATATTGTTCCCATGGGAGGCGGCTGAGCGCCTACACATCTACTCGCTTGTATTGCTGTCCTCTTGTCCCAGAAAAGTCAGAGGCATAAAAAATGATAGGCTGAGGAACAGCGCAAACTGACCTTTTCCTCGAGGTCTATCATTTGCTGGAAGAAACCAACATTTGGGCAGATAATGTTGCGACAATACTGAACATGCTTGTAGGCATCATGGAGCGACATTCTAAAAAATCTCTCAACTAGTGCGGAACTTCTGCAAAACTTTTGCGGAAATTCTGCCAACCTCTGCCGAACTTCCGCGGAAAACTTACTTTTCGATACACATCAGATACGCAATAGCGAAAGTTGCCGAACGTGATATACCCATTGCACAAAGCAGCAACAATCGCCCTGCTGACTTTCTTGCCTCGTCGATCTCCTGCAAAGTGAGACTATAGCCGAGTGCGATGTCTCTAGGTTGTTGCGACAATGGTCGCAGGTTCGAGTCCGCTCGGCGGCGGTGACGAGATCCGCGCGACCTCTGAGGAATGGAGAAGCGCGTGGTCTGAATAAGACCGAACCCAACGTGGTCTCCATTTCAGAAGATTGTATCGTGCCGTGTCCGAGTCGCTTTTAGAATTTCGGGAAATTTCCAGAAAATTGCGACCAATTGTCGTTTTTTCAAAACAAAAGATGGTTTTTTTTACTACCCGTAGTTTATTTTCGCGTCAATGTATTCATGTAGATTGCGCCATCTCACGCATTAAAAACTGCGGCTGGTGACGAGAACTTTTTCCATTTTTTTGCAATATTTTTTACTGAAATGAAAAATGTCGTTACTTACCTTGAACACGGTTGTGAAATATGGTGTAAGATCAGTGTTTTCATCATCAAGAACAGGAATATGAAGCACTTTCATATGACTAGGAGCTGAGATTCGAAAACCAGGGATCAGATTGATTGTCGTGCAGAACCGAGCTGAAAATTTTGAGATAAAAAATAAGGGCAGGAAAAAATGATCAATTAGAGGTTTAATCTTTGCCAGTATATTCGCTAAATCCAATGGCTGTTCAAAAGATGTTGATCAAGATGTTTTTATGAAAAAGTTCCAAAAATTTGAAATTGCTCTTTCATGTTTAAGTTCAATATACTTCAAACAATTTTTAGCTCCGTTATGTCTTAAGGTTTCCGAATCCTCATTTCTAAATCCTGATTTTTGAGGTTTGAGACCAATTGTCAGAGTTCTTTTTAAACCCGTAATTTCACGACTACAAAGAATTTTACGAAGGCAAATTTCCTTTCAAGGTGATTTCGCTTAACTCTTTTTGGGTATGCTACGCCAAGGTACGCAACCATTTAAGTTTTTTTATTAAATCCAACTTTTTGCTTAAAAAAATCTTTGACATAACCTATCTTCAAGAAATTGCGAATTTCCCCCGAAACCCCTTCAAATTATATTCTGGCGCATATATTTCCAAGAAAATCGATGTTTATGGCGTGTTTTGAAGAGAGATAATGGAGGGTGTATTGCTATCGGCCAGGTGAACTTCCGGTATACGGGGCCATTGGCTCGGCTCAATAACCACTTGCACACTTTGGATATTGCTATAGCAGAAAAAGCGATTTTTTTCATCTGACTATCTTCTCAATTTTTGATTAAAATCAGAAAAAAATGTCATCTCCATCCACACGATGACAGACTTTTTTCTTTCAAAAAATTTGACATGAAGATGACCTGTCAGTTTACGGACTCTTTTCTACGTAACGTAGCATTATGAGGTAATTGTCGACCCCTTTAACGGAGTATTGGCAAAAACCAATCCAAACTACTTTTTCAACGGCACGCGCACTGGCCTCTTCCGTTTGCGTTTATATAAATGTGGAAGTTCACGATCAAACTGTGCTGACCAGCAGAATGGTAACTCCTTTGCTTACTTTTGATTCGAGTCTCTGTAGTGACCAATTGGACCATGAAAGCACGTTCGCTTTTGAGATAATTTATGCAACACCAATAAGCTTGAACTTGTGACATGTATACTCAGATGCTACTGAACTTCCCCGATCCTATTTCGTAACCGCGTCTTTGTATTCTCACAACCTACGACAACATAACGACTGCTGCATGATGAAGGCGCAGAAGCGCTATAACTGAGCGGGCGCGAATGCTGCGCGCGTATCTCTCCTACCTCCACTACTATGAATCCTGCGCATGATGCGCTCTGCGGCTAGTAAAACCGCGTTCGCGCCTAAAGCTATTGCACCTTCGTCGTGCAGCAGCCTGTACTTATAAGCTCGAGAGTATGTGAGGTGGGAATTCATGTAACGGTTAATGTCAGCTTGCATCCTTCTATCACCTCTCAAAAAAAGCAAAGCAAAGAACTCTGCATCTTTTCTTTGAGATCATGGGCCTTCAATAGCGCTGCGCGCAGCTTTTGCAGTATCTGCGTCGATGATTCACCAATGCTTGCTTACTCCCAATACTTTCGATTAGGTTAGCTAAAAAATTTATTCATTCTGGTGGAAATCTCCCTGTAAACTTTTGTTTTATTTATTTATTTGAATACACACAAGTGCGCCAAAATTTTTCGTTTTTCATCCATGACAATTTGAGGGGAAGCAGTCCAAATTTACTATCAGTTTTTCAGTCAGTCAGTCCAGCAGTTTTTACTGTCACATATCAACTACCCAGAATTTTCCACAGTAATTAAAGGATAGTTATGTCCCAACATGGTTAACTTTCAAAAGCTCAATCCTTCGACTTTTTAAATCAATTTGTTGATGAAGTGATGTTGTGATGTACGTACAGATAGAATTTGGTGTGTGAATGCATGTTTTTTTCTACACAGCGTAACATTTTTTTTACCATTCTGAATTTCTTTGGTTAAAAAACAAAATTTCCTCGCATTTGCACACAATGATAAATTTTCTTCTTTTCTTTGTAGGGGTATTCTACTCAAACAGAACTCAACTGGAGTGATCTTTCCACAGACTCGAAACTGTGGACAAAAATTTGTCAGCAGGTTTTGTAGAGGCCGCAGAAGCGACCGAACCTACCTATTAGCCAACCAAATTCCTTTTGTTTCAAGTGGATTGACGGCTGGAAGGCGGACTTTCGCGTGACCTAATTAAGGCTAGATAATGATCAGAGAGCACGCGCGCGGGAAAGACGCAGACTGCGTCGCGGGCTCGAGCGTTCTCAATTAGGTCACAATACCCCGCGTTCTAGCCGCCAATCCAGTTGAATCAGAAGCTAGATATTTTTCAAATTCAAGCAGATCCATATACAAATGTGAGTTCCTACTATGACATCAATGCCGTCCCTTCCTATGGTATCTTGTATTGTTTTTGTAACAGGAAATATAAGGCAAACAAATTTGGATTAAAATCATTGTTACTCTTTACTGTACTATGTGATTCGTTCTGATTTCACAGCAAAGTTTGTGTATAAATTAATGGAAAGAGTCTTGAGGAAACTTCTTTAACTTTCCTTGTGGGTACGCATGGATGCATCAAATTTAGGGATTCGCCAAAATAATGCAGCATTTTCCATTTATGAGGCATGCATTTGCAACGTATAATTAGCAAGTACATAGAAAAGTAATTGCTTCTTCTACTTCTATGTTTGCTGTTGAGACAATCTAGTTTTTGAACGCAATTCTGCCAAAATACAAAGCTTGCATTTACTGTTACTTCTTTAGGGTTACATTGTTTACAGAATTAAATTTTTCGAATAATCTTTAGTCCATTTGAAGAGCTGACTGTTGCAAAATGCTTCTTTCACACTGAAAATTCCTGTTTCGATGTGAGTTCATATAATTTCGTGATTCTTATCTGTTGTTCCTTTATGCATGCGGTATACGGTTCGGTAATGTGTGCAAGTGCACAAAAAGCGTCGTGCACGTAAAAATAAGGCGCGTGTCACAATATCTCGACTACGGTCTCTTTAATTCATGAATCATTTACTTTATAGCAAAAACTGAAAGGTTTTATACTGAATTTAGTAGTTTACGCAACCACTTTGATACGCAACGTGTGCATTTGCACATATTAAGGACGAATCCATTTGTTACGTATATCTACTACGTTACTGTTTATGATAATATAGTAAAATTTCACTTACAGAGTGTTCGCGGTGATAGCGCTCCCAAACCTCCAACATAGAGAAACGGCCGGATTTGTGAACATTGGCGCGACTCGCGACTGATCACACGTCGTGACGTCATGTCAGCAGCAGCAGCAGCGCTTCTTGTCGCGCTGCTCTCGTCCGTGCACAAGGACGCGCGCTCCCTGAAATGCTACTCATGTTCGTTTTCATACAATGAAATGTATGATTTGGATCATCGGTGAGTCCTAAGTGGAATTAGGTGCTGTAGTCTTCACATGAGTAGTCTTTTTGTACAACTGCACCACATTTGAATTTATCAATGGAACAAATTAGTAAAAATAATTGAAGAGTGGGATACGAAAAAAAGGGAACACAAAGCTCGCACCTAAACAGAAGGTACAAACTGAAAACATTTTCCCGCCAGCTCGATTCTAAAAAGTGGTGCAATCACACAAAACGATTTCGCAAGCAAAGAAACTCTATATTGGTCTGCAAAAAAGCATGTTTTTTGCTTGTTTTTCGCCATTTGGAAAAATTGAAAGTAGGTATCACAAATTATTTTTACCACCGATTAGACAACCACGCACAAGAATGGAACAAAACTCGTCTATTCGGAAATTCGACCACCCATTTTATTTGCATCAATGCTCACGAATTCGTCACTATGTTCTTTCTATTATACTAATTCGCTTCAATGCCCCATGTGTTCATCAGAATGCTGCTTCTGCTTAATTAATATTCACAAAGCTTTTTATGGTACCAAAAAAGGGGAACTACAGTATCCTCAAAACCTTCCGATCATGTTTTTGGAACAACCTTTGTTTCTATTCAAAAGGTATTTGCTCAGTTAGCGATTTCTTGTCTTTCGATTTTATCTTTTGTCTCAAAAAGTACAGTATCTGAATAATGCTCAGCAAAGGCGAGACCTCGAAACGTGTATGTTATACTTGTCTATAGGGATAATCCAAGCGACAAATATAGCGAAAAAATAAAAAATTAAGAATTTTTCAGTCAATTTAAACGAACAAATTCCCGGTTATATAGCTTTGGCTTTGCATGAAAAATAATAGAGTAAGTGAGAAGAAAAACGGAATAACAAAGTAAGTCATAGGATGCTGTCATTCTGCATTAGCATAACAATCTATAATCTAGTAGGCTAACCAAATTAATTCATCGTTTGAAGAAAAGTTTTATAGTGCTTGCAAAGCAGCAAAAGTGTTTTTCCCTTTGTTCCACTTTCTTATATAGTTTCGTTCAGTTAAGACATGGCAAATTTACATTTGCTCTTTTTTCTTGGGGAAGATGTTCAAACAAACAAAAGCAAACATATGCTGGGCAAACGAAAAACAACGCAGTAGCATTATTAAAAAGTTACAAAAAGATACTAGTTTTTCAAATCTCAGAAGTTCTCAAAGGTATTCATGCAAAGTATGAAAATCAAGTAGCTTCCAAGTTCTTTTCTCTTCGAAAACTTATTCTGTTATTGATTTATTTATTCTTAGTCACTAATACTGAATATTCTAACGATAAAAGGGCAAATGTGAGTGTACCAAAATTCTAAACCTTTTCAAAGTGATCTCGTATACTAGCATAAAAATTGACACTGAAGATTAATGGCATAAATCATAGGTTACAATTTTTCATAAAACTCTCTTTAATTTTTGGTTCGATTGCTAGCGTTAGAATAGAAAAAAAATAGAATAAGAATGGCTTCATTTGTTTTAGATGTCAGGAAGGAAGACAGGATATATAAATTATCAATCTTTCCAAAACGGTCATCGCTTTCGTTTCGGTTAGGTATTCCTTCACTCAAAAATTCAGGAGTATCTGTAGGCTAAGGCAACTTACAGTATTCTTACAGTATCCTGGAATCTCTCCAATTTGAACGCTAGCAGCAAGAAAGGATCATTCTTTGAAATGAATGACATAAATGGGATCGATGTGGATTATAAATTCTTTTAACAATCTCTTCATCTTGGTTGTACTTACTCCTACGCTCAAAAGATGAGATGGACTTTGATTTGAAGGCCTTATTGTGGCTTACAGTATCCTTATAGTAATCTGAAACTTTCCATCAGGAGCTAATGAGAGGGAATAAGGACTTTCAGAAATTAAAACAGAATAATGTTCTAATAGCGATTACGGTCAGAGATGCGTGGTGTGCGAACGAGTCACTGGTGCTGTTCGACACAGATGAGACGGCGAAGACGTGCGCCCCATGGGAGAAGTTTTGTGTGGTAAGAGATGTCAACAGATAGGGGAGGTTGGGGGGCAAGTCGACGGGGGGACAGAGCCGAGATCCGCTCTAGATAACGCCAAAAAGCCCGAATCGCAACTTGAAGTGCTCTTTCAGACTGCTGTCAATACGATAAACAAGGCGTTCACGTCGGTGAGCCGTGGATGTGGTGAACGGTGTTCGGAATTGTGCGAATCGGTCGGATATGGGCAGGATCAGGTTTGCGGAATTTTGATTTGTAAAGACTATAGGCTAGGGTACATCTAATACAATTTCATGCAAACAGATTACTTATGTTCCACAAACTGCTTTGGCACTGCTTGTACTCTTCGATTCAACTGGCTTGGCTGCTCGAAGGTGGGGCTTCGTGACCTAATTAAGGCTAGGTAATGATCAGAGAGCACACGCGCGAGAGAGACACAGACTGCGACGCAAGCGCGAGCGGCCTTATTAAGCTCTCAAAGCCGCGCCTTTCAAACCAGTTGAATCAAAAATTATTTAGAAAAGTCTGTACTTTTGAGTTTTGTGTTTTAAAAATGTTTTGTAAACGAGTGTAAATTGAGCACAGGAGATCTTGTTCACTCCCAAATCACAACTAACGTCACCTACCTCGGAACGGGTGGATGAAAATTTCTGAGCAAGGTTCAAAAAAATCGAGAAATTCATAAGACTAATCCTGGCTGATAAATGCAGGCACATGTCTTGTTCTCAAAAAGTAGTTATCGTTTTCTTGGAAAAGTATATTCTTATGGGGGTCTGTCGTCAGAAGCACGATGAGTGTGCTGACAATAATGCACTGTGGTGCTTATGAGGACCTCGAAGTACAGTAATCAAACTTATGAGAATTAGGAGAGTTTTCTTCCTGATATTGCCGATTTCTTTTGAATTAGAGAGAAATTTGTGAGCTATCCCAGTTGAATACAAGTTTTTGCTATATCTTCTATTTTTTCCTAATTCTGTGTATTTTATGTATTTTTTTGAGTATTTTTCCTGTCAAGGAGCCAAGTACGCTTGAGACTATCTCTCATTGTTTGCACCCTAGATAACATTTGATTCAATTGGATTGACGGCTGGGAGGCGGGGCATTGCAGCTGTAAGGCCGCTCACGCCCGCGACGCAGTCTGCGTCTCTTCCGCTCTCGTGTTCTCTGGTCATTTCTAGCCAGTTAGGCCACATAGCCCCGCCTTCCAGCCGCCAAGTCAGTTGAATCAAAGGGTTCTATGGCAGCGCAAAAAATAAGTCATAAACTTTTGCAAAAAAGGTCTGGTCCCAACGGCTAATCGGCAAAGCCCTCTTCAAAACGTCATTCATTCAGTTTTCATGAGCATTTCGATATGCTAGACAGATAATTCTCTCGCAGCTCTTTTGGAGAATTTTTTTTACTGTCCGCTCATACTAATGCAATAAAATAAAGTGTCGGTAAACATTCAGTTCATGAGTTTCGCGCGAAAACTATGCGGACAACACGCAGTTTGGCAAACGTAGACGATATAAATTCAATTCTCTCCCAGAAAAACCTGTGCCAACATTTGAGAGAATACATTTTGAAAGAATACTTTACCAATGGAAATTGTCAGTGTAAACGTTGCAAGCTGCTCCAGTGTATCTAAACTGGTTTGCTGTACTTATACAGAACAGCAACAAAAGACCAAATGGAAAAAAAGTTGGTCACATCTTTGAGAACCCGCAACTCGTTTTCCAAACGGGTATCTCTGAGATTTTGGGAGTCCAAAATTTTCAATCATGAATGTTTGGCGTAACATACTTTCAAAGGGTAGACCGTACAACAGTGAAATCGAATGGGATAATCAAATGGATGCTTATGGAGCTTTAATAAGATATTATATGCTTACAAAAGCTTACAATGTTTTACTTTTGACTAGCAGGAATAGCAGAAAAGTGATTTTTTTCAACAAGGTCTGAATTAGAAAATTAGCATTAACAGTATCATTGCATGAAACTGGTGGTGTTTTTTTCTGTTTTCAAATCGAAAAGCACATCTTACACCATCTTTTACTTTGTCCTTTTCCTCTGTGTCTTTGTCATTTGAAAAAAAAATTTCATGGAGTAATTTCAAAAAATAATTACCGCAAAGGCTCGAAAGTGATGCACGCTCACTGGATGGATCGAAAAAGAGTTGATTTTCGTAAATAAATGAAGTAATTTTTCAAATCTTATCTGGCTTCAAAGTTCAAAAATTTTCGCGGACATGGCGTGCCAAAAAATCTTTGAAGAAAGACACCTGTCTCGATGGAACGAAGTGAGCTAATGCGATGTGACAGCTTTCCAGCTCATCATCGCCTCTTCCAGACATCTGCTTTTGATGAGCTATATAACTTCTGCTCAATAATATCCTCAAAACATCTGTTACATGTTTTGTATCTATCTGCAGAGAAAGGGGGGATCCCGATTGAAGGTTCAACACATTTGCGAGGATTTATTTTTAGGTTGCCGGTACCGCATGATCGAGCGTTGAGCATTTGCGCGGCGGATACGTGTGATAATAATAAAAAAAAACTTGCTGCTGGTGGAGGACATCAGGTCGCCGAAAGGGTAGGGAGGGGGGAGGACAACTGTAGTGAATCACGCACCTCTTTGCATCAGCTCTGTGCTAGCTGTCCGCGCGGAGGACCCTATCGGCGACCTGAGGTCCTCTGTCCAAATAGAGAAAGAGCTTCTTATAAACTTTGCCTTATCACGACAATGTCCAAGAAACTTCGAGGGGTGAGGGGGGAAGGAGAGGGATGTGACAAAATTTTGCTCTGGTAGCACTCAAATCATATCCCGAACAATTTTTTCATATTTTACCGAGTTCAATTTCTTATAAGTTCTATTGTATAATCTAATATATAAAGAAATCATAAGCTGCATTCAAAAACCATCAAATAGCGGGAAACCACGTGCGGTCCGAAGCGCGCGGATGCACTCTATGTAGCACCTTTAATTACTGGTTCACTACTCTCAACTAAGTATGAAAAGAAAGACGATTCTCAGAAATTGAAATGTTGGGCATTTCAAAAAATTAACTATCCAGTCTGAAAAGCGGATAAAATCGGGTTCATTAGGATTTGAGCATTTTCTATCTATTAAGCCATGAGTCACCATAGCGCCAATATCGGCAGCCGCGTTACAAGCACGCTCGCGTGCGTTCAGCCTGCAGCGCGCAATCTCGTGCAGTCGACTTTACAGTCTATAGTGAGATTCGCGCTGTACAGGCATGTCTGTCTACGCGCATCACATGGGTTAACGCGTAAGGCTTTGCGTTACGGGAGGTACGTGTCGCATGCCTCAACGCACGTTATACGACGCGCAAGATTACGATAGCTCATTGTGCATAAAAGATCTTCACCAATATAAACCAATTCTGAAACTTAGAATTTGTTTGGAAAAAAAATAACTGCATCGGAGGGTAGTATTGCGATATTCGCATCGCAACAAGTAAGCGGCGCGGGCCTCTTTATAGCCAAGCAGTTTAACGGTATCAGCTATATAAATCTCGGTCATACATAAAAGCTTTTTTCAGAACTAGAAAATGCGCATAAAAAAGAAAAAACCTTCATGGGAGACTTGTTGCGTGAGAGATTCGCGCCGCAGCGAGCACGTGACGCAAGCCATTATACGCCACGCAGGGTTACGGTATCATGCTGTGCAAAAAGAGCGTTTCCATAAATAAAGTCGTTTTGAAGCTATTTTCTGCGCATAAAATTTCCAAAAGCAGTGTCAAAAAGGGAGGAAGGGAAAGGTAAGGAAAAAAGCATAGAGTAAACGGGGAAAGCGAAACAAAGTTGACTTTCTTCGAAAGGGAGTCATTATTTTCTGCTAACAAAATTTAAAAAAAAGAGAAAATTTACCTCTCATCTCGATCGACGACATTTAATTGAAAAAGGCAGGCAATAAACGATCTCGAACAATTCATTGCACGCAGCAAAGACGAAATGCGCAAAAGCAGCCCATTCGATGGGATTTTCAGTGAAATTACTAGCAATTTTCATTTCAGTCACGCATGGCAACGGATATGCATTGTTCGGAAATCTTTTTTCCATCCAGTGCGCTTTTTTCTCCCTGACTAACAAATATTTTTCATGCAAGAAAACGAGAGAAAACCCATTCGGGTGGAAATTTCCATAGAAACGGCTGAATTGTTCAAATATTTACCCAGAGAGCGTGCAAAGCAGCGGATGGCGTTCGTGTTCTGAAACATCGGACATCGAAATAGGAGCGGAGCCGAGGCAGACTGACTTTTAACTAAATGTGGAATGGCAAAAGAAGTTCACATTTTGTATGAATGAAAATTTTGTTGTGAACGAAATTGGACATTACAGTTGAATTTTAAAAGCTTTACGACTATGCCTAGCTTACATTTTTATGCACTCCAATAAAATACGTCATTTGAGGACTAAAATTTTTAAAATTAGAGGGCAGATGTTCTACAGAATTCAATTTTTTAAAAACTTTTGTAATCTAACGTAGCTTTCTAGCGTTTATACTCGAAATGTCTCACTATATACTGGGAGTAGATTGGAGGTAAATAATAAATAATGTTTCCTGAGACAAATTCACTCTATGCCTGTTGATTCCAAAGGAAAAAGATCTCACTTATGTAGATAGCAAAGATTGTAATTCTGAAGGATTTTGTTTGATTAGCTGTGAGTGGTTGTGATTCATAGAACTTCGTTAGCTACTACAGTACTGGACATAATTATAAATCCACTCTTGGTGCAAAAGTTTTGTCAGTTTTTTCAATCCATTGGCAAGCACGCTAAAATGAAGATAAACATATACTTCAAAAAGTATCCGATGCAGAATTTCTTTCTCTTTTCAGCAGCTAAACTCCCATTGTGTTTCGTTGCGAGAGTGACAAGATATTTGCTGGAAATTACAACTGCTCGTTTTTACCATGTCCGACTTTCACTAATTTTCAAAATTTTTGTATGAGACATACGGAGGGGTTCTAATAACCACCAGATAGTGCAAACCTTTTGCCAACAGGAGCAATTTTTTGTAAGCCCTACGCCTTGTCTTTTAGAATTTCTACGAAATTTATGGAGAAATTCGCAGTATTTTTCAATTTCAAGAGTGCGCACTGACGTAACTTATGTTTCAAAATATTCATAATTTAAAGCGAGAATCGCTCATTTACTTTGTAGTGGTAGGTTTCGCAATTTTTTCAAAAAACAAAGACTTTCAGAAAATTATTTGGCAAAATCCTGAAAAAGCAGCTAAAAAAAGAAAAAAATTGCTTCTATTGGCAAAAAGTTTGCCCTATCTGGAGGTTATTAGTGCTCCTCCGAAAATCTCATACAAAAAATTTGAAAATTAGTGAAAGTTGGACATGGTAAAAACGAGTGGTTGTAATTTTCGGCAAATATCTCGTCATTCTCTCATTCGATACACAACGTGAGTTTAGAAGCTGGAAAGATGAAGAAATTCTGCATCGGATACTTCTTGAAGTGCTTGTTTATCTTCATTCTAGCGTGTTTGCCGATGAATTGAAAAAAAACTGACAAAACTTTTGCACCGACCTAATGTTTGGAGCCTTCAAAAAGTTCGTTCGCAAGTCAGTCTGTTTAGACAAATTAGCAACATCGATGCTTAAAATTTTTTTAAACGAATCGGAATTACAGTGAGCTTGGAGATAATGCATTGTATGATAAGTATTTCAATATCTTTACTATTGAAATGCTAAGAAATCCAGAATAAACCTAATTTAATCTCTTTAAAAGATAAGATTTTGAATAATCAATTTGCTTGATGACGAAAATGCAAGCACGAGCTCTCTGGCTCTCTACTAATGAATTTCAGATTCTAACTCTGCTCTATCTTAGGGTAGCCAGAATTTTATATTCTCTATCTTCTCAACTTACTTATTTATAAACTTTTTATGAGGACCTACAAAAATGCTTCTTTCTGAAAGTTTTATAGATACTGAAGAATTACTTCATCATAAAGTGCAACATTGTAATACTCTTTGATTTTGCGTCAATTCCACACTAGTTAAAGATTTGTTAGCGGCGAAGTCGTGGTGGTCCGGCAAGACCGACGAAATCTCATCACTCGCATAACTGAGTCTGACACGGCTTGAAGTAATTGATCAGTTTTGATGGAGGTCCGAATGACTTTCAGTAAAAACTAATAACTCTCGGAGAACAAAACCCAGCTGGTTATACTGTAATTTTCGCCATTGTTCACTTAGACGAATTTGAAAGAGTTAAGAATGAAACTCACAGACGTGTTGTTACTGGCCGTGGCCGTTGAATGTATAAGATATGAAGTCGTGGATCAGGCTCAAAATTGTAGTAGCTGTTAAAATTCTGAAGAAAAATCACTGAGTAAATTCTGAGTGATAAACGACAAAATCTTCGAAATTGAGCAATAAACTGCGCGAGGAGTGGCATTTCTAGATGTAAAAGACGAATATCTCTGAGCAAATGCATCGCAAAAGCTGTATAGCCCCAAAAAATTAAAACTAATACAGATGCATAGAACGAGAAGTTTTTAGTTTGGATTAGTGCCAAATCATTATTTGTGGCAATCAATGGCGGGCCAAAAAATGCGAAATTTTGAAAGTGATCAACATAAGTTTAGAATTGTGCAAATGATTATTATCACTTTTGACAAATTCAAACAATCTTTTCAATGTCTAACTTTAAATTGGCTCTGTGAAAGAATTTCTACGATGTTAAAGGACCTTGATTTTGGAGAGCATTCCAAGATATTCTTTGATATGACTAATACTAATTCCCTTTATTGGCAAATTTTTTGTCTCTCTTTTTCGAGAAAATATAATACTTTCTGGGACCATTACTGCTTGGTGCAGCTTAGTGCTACAAATTCCACTTTTGATACAAAATTTGAAAATATATACAATAGAACATTTCATAATCTTTTTTGGACACAAAACTTTGCACAGTCAAATAAGTAAAATGCGCTCCAACCCAGGAAAACAGCGAAATTTTTAATATTTGCTGAAGTTAAAAATCGGCAATGTGCAGAAAATACATGTGATCGTGGATGTAACACTATCTTCCGAAAAAATAAATCAATAAATCTGCATGAGAGCGGAAAACTGCCGAACATATTTTCTGCCAAACGCTCGATAGCCACATGTAACGTTGAAAGAGTAAGTGACACGGAACAGGCTGAGAAAGGGTTTTTAGAGGGTTAGAGTCGACAGAGCATGCTCAATTTCACTAGCTGGCAAGCGTTATTTCGGGAATTCGTCACGCTGTGCAGCGCATAAAATTTCGGATCTTTTTTTTCATCACACCGGCGCAGTCGCTTAAGTTCAAGTGAAGCGTCAGCTGCTGATAAGAGCCGGCTGTCGTCTGGCAGACAAGTCGATAATAAAAGTTATACTGATAATTTATTAGCAGGATTTGAAAAAAATCATCTTGAGCTAAGAAGTGAGCGCGATATGATGGAGTAGAGGTAATCAGCGGGAAGTAAAGCATGCCTCAATTTAAGATAATAGAATTGAACTAAGTACCGAATTCTATAAAATTTTTGATGTGCTCTAGAACTGAAGTAGATGATGAAAAGATGTAAAATCCAGTTTTATCCAAAAAAACATGCCTTGTCATTGACTAATAAAAGTAGAAGTAACAATAATTCTAACATAGGAAAAAGTTAAAGTGTTCAGAAGTAGGTGCTTTAAGCTAGCCAAAGATTCAACAAAAAAAGTCAGCCAATTTACTTATAAAAAAAATCCTCCTTCAGGTATCGTACTGTTGCAACTCAACTCTGACAGATGTAAAACAAATATTCGCCTCACTAACCCTCTCTCTCTCGCCCTTCTTTCTAATGTTTGCATGGCAATTGTGTTGAAGAGCAGCTATGTATTGGTTCGAGATCATTGTAATCTTTACTTGATCACCTAGTCAAATTGCGGTTTTTTCAGTTTCCTCCTCCCACTCCTCTCTCTCTCTCACTCTTGAGTGATTAAATTTACAAAAGTCAGTTGTTTCACGGCTGTCTTACTTTGACTCAAATGAACAAAATTCCGAATACTAAGCGTATTGTTCCAAAAACTGTTAAGTGACTGAGCTTGAAAGCAGTAGCTTGGCTAAACCTTTTATAGATTTTGGTGGTATCTGTTACATATTGGGCCTTACAAGTACACCGTAGCCTCATCCCCTCCCCCCCCCCCCAATTCACTTCTACTGAAAGTGCCTCAATGGCGGGCCTTTTGAAATTCGTTCTAAGTCTTACATGGATCATGAAATGGTGCATGGAGTTAGAGCTACATGGTTACTACCAGTGGCGGTCGCAGCATTTCCTCCCGAGGGCGGGGGCAGCGACAAAAAATTTTTTTTCAAGAAGGTGCGTGGAATGCATTTTTTTATTGCGTTAGCCACGCACTCCGAAAAAATATTTGGGGGTTTCCTCGAACTTTTTGCTATTTCAAAAGCATTAAAATTTAAAAAAGGGGCGTTTGGCAAGCTACGCCTTCAAAAAAATTTTTACAAGACTAATTTGCATTTTTAAAGAATTTCAAAAATGAATTGTTTACAAGAATAAACGAGTCACTCGCACATTTTTATAACGCATATAGGTAAATTTCAAAAATTTCGCCACCCATTTTCGAGGGTCCCCTCTCCTCGGTCCGCCACTATCTACTACCTAAACCATCGAACTAACAAGAGTCCATTTTGGCGCCCCATCTGCTCAGGTGTAATCAATCACTCGCATTTTTATACTGTTTAGGTGACACCTTCCTGAGTTCCTCCGTGGAAAAAGTATGGGTTGTAAAATTTGAATGGACCGCAGGGTAGCGCTCAGACCTTTACTGGTTTCAAAGACTGTTGAGGGAAGCAATTTCAAAGAGATATGGACAACAAATTTAGGCTGTTTGGCCTATAAGCACTTAATGCATATTCGACTGATATGCAGAGTAAGAGGACTATAATTGACTATAATTTGACTGACTTTGACCATAATTTACGGCAAATGCATCATAAAAATCTTTCACGCATAAGCGCGCCAAACTCTCAATTATGTGAGAGAGAAAGTTATGCTTCATTGAATTTTGTGCATTTTTTCTATGAAGACAAGCTATTTTGGTGGTTGAGCGTTTCCCTTCTCACTCTAGGGAACTTACGAAACAAACGATTGAAAAGTGTTTTATTCGAGGAAATTTCAAAATAATTACGCTAATTCTGATGCCATTAATCTTGCCATTTGCTTACTCAAATGATAAGAATTTCAAGGATGCGAAGGATATGGCGAAAGCTTTCTAGTTTGCTCTCCTTTGGATATACCACTATAAGTAAAGAAAATGAACAGATTTGATCAAAGGTCTTCAAAGCGTAGCTTTAATCGTGCACCAGAAAGGACCGCTAATTCTTACTGTCTAAATTTATTTGAGTATTCGTTCATGTCACAGTTTTGCTAAGTTTACAGCTTCTTAAGAGTTCTGTTTACAACTAGGAAATTGATGCACAAATCTTTGGGTCATGGAATAGGGTTTGAACGATATCACTAAAAGCCAGAGACTGCTGTGCTGTTGCTGACCATCGTAGTGTCATAAAATTGTACGAATTGGTGAATGCGCAAGGTTTATGATTGAAAGCTCGCATAAAAAGCTTATTTGCGCTCTTACACTAAACGATAGCCCATTATATTTCAATTCTATACGGCCAATACACAATGAGATGGTTGAGTTTTGGTTCACCTTTCCTTATTGCCTTCCACTTCCTGACAGACTCTAACAAAAGGAGCGGGGGGGGGGGGGGTTAAGGCTTTCTCCACCCCTTCGAGCGACATACGAGGCAGTCCAAAAGGAAGGCGCAGTTAATCAAATCGGAAGCTAAATGCATTATTTTGCAGCCTTCTAAATGTTTTTAAAAATACCACGAGAATTGTAAAGCTTAAAAAAATAAAGGATACCTTGAAAATGTAAGAGGATGAGAAACTGTAAATCAAGCATTTTGGCAACGTATCCTGAGCCTCAGCTCTATAAGAAACTGTCGCGGCTCCCGCAGAGCAGCTCCTCGGAACCCTGGGATTGCCATATGCCGCGTTTACTTGTTGCGCCTTTTCTAGCTGCCGCAGGACCTCTCCGACTGGAAACGATTTCAAGTGGCGAGGTATAAAAGACTGCGCGTGAGAGCAGCCTTTGCCTCGTTGTCCTCATTTCAATTATTGATTTTTATCAACTTGGCCTCATTTTCAGCAGCTCCTGCATGAGAGAATTTTCGGTTAAATGGTCAAGCATGGGTGTCTTGTGTATTGGACGCGCAGGAGCGCGGAAGATTTTTTGAGTTAAAAGATGACCAAGAATGTGGAAGTGGAGCATTCTATACGGACCAAGGCTTCCAGCGGCAGACCCTGTTGAGGAACCCGGATGTTTAGATTTTGATTGAGCCTTAAAAGCATCGGCAGCACCAATGACGAAACGATGGGGCTCGTTCCGTGTCATTAGTTTGAGTACCCCTTTTAGGTTAGAAGTTTTGTAGTGTAGTAGTTTTGTTATGTATTTTTTCCTTATTTAGTATGTAGATTTACTCAAGTAGACGTGCGTTATGTGTGGGCAGTTGGTGTTGGGTGATCGCGTCGAGTGGACGCTCCGAAGGTACCGTCGGTTACGGACGTTTAATGTCTATGGTCCAGGTCTAGTCGTGTATGGCAGTCGAGCGAGACTAGGGGAGCTGGCCCGCCGAGCTGCTATTGAATGTGCGCAAGGTGTTTGATTCAGTAATGAGTAATGCAAAGTTATGACAGGCAAAAATCACGTGAGGTCTTCCTTACACGCATATGCAATTCTCCAAAATATGTACATTTTCAAATAAGTCAGGAAGCCATTGCGCAGAAGTTCAAAATTTTATAAAAAGGGGCAAAAACTGAACGCCGTAGAATTTAGAGCGGAATTTGGACACTTACTATAGTGAACATGCTTTTACAGTAAAAAAGTTATGCAGTGCCTATGTTAACTGAGGATTGAGAAGAGGATTTTTTTTTTGAAAACTCTTTTGAAACAGCCTTTTTTAACTTGTAGAAGATAGCTCCTGTAGTATTGAAGTAATAACCAAGTAAGCGCAGTGTTAAAGCGACTAAAGGAGACATAAGTTTTATATCATAAAGATTTATTATCCAGCTTTTTTAAGCTCACGAGATTTTTCGCAGATTTCAAAACCATTGAGTGCAATATAAATGGTTGTTATCTAAGGTGAATTGCGACGATTGCTGCGAAGAAGACCTCTGCAATGCAAACTTTTCCGTCACCTATTATCAGGAGATGATGAGCCGACAGTACACGTCTTGGACTGTTCCGCTCAAGGGAGAAATTGAATGGAATAGAAAAAGCAAGCTTAAATTTCCCTACTAGACCGTTACGAAGCTGTTCATACGAGGTTTACGTAAGATTTCAATATTTGCTGTTTTCTGTACTTATGAGTCCGTAAATGCTGCACTGTCTATAAATAAACATGTTATTACTGCCTCATTGCCCTTTCCTCCACTTTTTATTTTCTTTCTGTTAGAAAAAGGTTGAGGATGTTGTTCGTCTTAATGTGAATGTCTTGAAGAAGAAACTTGACAGCGAAATGTAAATTTGATTTCCACGTAGAGTCATCGGAAGGAAAGATTTGTCACACATCCTCAAAATGGTTTCATCTTGACGCGAACGTTGCGAGCAAAATAGAAAGAAGCTCGCGGGTACGGGGACTGCGACCTTTGGCCATATTCCGCGATTATAGCCCCTTGAGGTTCAGAAAAAAAGGAATGCAGAATAAAAAAGCGTCTCAAGCTCTAGGAAAATTAAGCGACTGATGGCATGCCAATAACCTTTGTCACAATTTTTGATGCACCTTTTCAAAACATTTGAGGCGTTGAATACGTTTCAGCAAATTAATGTTTTTTAGAAATCAAGAATACACTGTGAAACGCCGAGGACGTAGAACTCGTCACGAAAATGATGGGTGAAGCGTAAGAAAACAGGTGCAAAAATAATATGCTCAAGAAGAAGAAGCACAAGTTTGAATGATTCCAAATATGAAGGTCTCGAGCAGTTCCCAGTCGAGCGGTCAACAATGAAAAACGGATGACCATTGAGGAATGCTGCAAAAAAGACTTAGAAACTACAGTAACAAAAATCTTTTGCTCTGACTATTCAATTCCCCCTTTTTTGCTATGAAAATGTTGCAGAAAATTCGCGTTTGAAAAGAATAACTCTGTGAAGTAAACATAATTATAAAATTACGTACCTCTGAATCAAATATTCGAGCTTCCAAGAAAGCAGGCTTGTACAGAAGAAAAAGCAAGGTAGCATTTGTCAGGTAATTTCGCAACCAGGGGAGCAACGGGGTGAATTAAGCGCGCCTGTACGAGTGTCTGTCGTAGGCGGTGCCATTCTTCACTTACTAATTTGCCTACTTGCTTCATTTTTCATATCCTCAACAGTTTATTAGAAAAATTCGGCCTCTATGATATGGGTATCGAGTGGGCCGCGAAAATCCGAAAACGAAAAAAAAACATTGTGAAGTATTTATTCGGGTACTATTTCCCCTTATTTCCGCCTCTCGTCCGCTCTTCGATCTGCCTCATCCTCGTCCACACATCATAACAGGCTAGCTGTTAAAGGAGTTGTAGTGACATGAGGAGAATGTGCAAAAAGGAGAGTTACCCAATCAACAATCTACAATTGCTTGTTGAAGCAAGTCGATCCTCATTGGAGCTTACAAGATATGCGAAACTTCTCATTGTTGTAAGCCTGGAAGCTCTCTACAATTTTATTGAAAGGGATATCATCACACGCAGATTCTTTTGTCTACCTCGGGCAGATGCTCCCCACGTGTTAATGGTGAAGAAATTTTTCGGAAGTATCGGAATAACAAATGGATTTGGCAAATGCGGCAACTTCTTGAAAACGCAAATTAGGTGTTTATCAATGGTGTTATTTTGATACCATTATTTTTACATTATTGTTGAACTGTAAAACATGGGCAGTCAATAAAATGTCGTTAGTGTCATTTCTCTGCGATAGAGAGGAGTGAAACGCCTACCGCTCAGAAAATGGTCGAAAGGCTCAGAGGTTGGTGGAAAACCTTTATGATTCTACAATAAAGCTGAAGGTTTGTTATACGGTATGCGGGGAAGATTGTCGATTAGCCTTTGTCATTTTTGAGAAGAAAAAAAGGAATAGAGAAAAATAGAAAATGCCACGTGCTGGACACCTGTTAATGGCCGAAACATTGGTAATAAGAGGCCAAGGAGAAGATGGGAGGGGGACGTTTGAAAAAAGTATAGTGTCCTGAATTTGCTCATAAATGGCAAGAGCAAGCAATTTTCGTTAATGGAAAAGGCTAGAGTACGTATAGCGGCCCTGCTGACCAACCAAAGCCTTAGGTTTAATCATTACCAGAGTTGAGCAAGATGTCAGGCACAAGTTTTTCGAAAACGACCTCCCCCTCCACAGAAGTCCTCAAACGACCCCTTCTTCCTCCTCTTGACCTCTTGAACAACATTCTGGAGGACAGATCCTTTGCTAGACTATTTTCAGATTTTTGAGAACCGTACGTCCGATTTTCTGTGACTGCACTTTACAGTCACATGTAATTTGACGGCTGATTTTGATCTGCATGGGCCCATTGGAAGGGTTATAGTTTTTCTAGGGATAGGGCATTCAGCTTTGAATTTCCATTATAGCAAGAAGAAGCTATGAGCTCAATACTCATACTAGAAACGGAGCGATTTATGGATTTTGAAGGGAAGTTTAGGGGTGAGGCCCAACCCCTCGGTTACACCTGACCCGATTTACTTTATCACCAAAAACCTTTATCAATCTTTTCCACCTTGATTTTGTATGATTCGCTAACATAAACCTTGAAATTTCTACAGTAGGTGCTTGAGCTTACCTCGACTTGTTTTGGCTGTGTGGTGATAGGTGGAGTTGAAGCACGCAAGGTGGAAAACGCGGTGACTAACATTCTGACAGCACTTCTTAATCCATTATTTGGAAGCAGTATAAGGTCCACTTTCTACCGTAGACACTGATAGAGAGTAATACTTTGTCATGAATACAAAAAGCTGACTTCTTTCTTTTTTGTGACCAAGTTGACCATGTTTGAAAATCATGCTGTTTAGACGTTGGGAAACACTAGGAAATGTATAGGTAGTGTTTTGTAGAGAGCTCATTGAGGTGATTTGGCATGCTGATTACGGAAATCATACCCAATTCACATAAAAACCTTCTTTGGTGACCTTACGGTATGTGTAAGGTAGAAGAATTGGATTTTGATTGAGAATCCGAGTTAATCAGCATGCTGTTTATGAAAGTCTTCCTCTGGTAGTGTTGTGAAATTCACTATTAAGCGCTTTTCTTCTTCACCTTACTCGATAGTAGTATTATCTCGCTTCTTGATTACGACTCCGTCCTCCCCCCCCCCTTTGCTCTTACCCCCAATACAACACCCCCCCCCGGGGGTCGGGCGCGCCTGACTCCACGCTCAACCGTGGTCATTACTATTTTTACATGAAGTAAAGCCATTGAGATTTGCTAAAGATGAAGACAAAGATTGGATGTTGGGAGACCTTAGACTTTTTTATATTACTATATTTGTACTAAAGGTATAAAATGTAAATATTACGGTACAGTCGAACTGCGTAAGTCTTACGTTCTCGGATTTTATCCTATCTTATTTGATCATCACTTACGTTAGTGGTTTCAACAAGGTAGGCAAAAACATGAAGAGAGAATACCAAGCATTGCTTCGAACCTATTTCCGGATACGAGCAAAGAGCTTTGACCAAGTGAAATAAAAAAGGTCTTCTTGTGGTCCAAAACCAGATAGTAAAGTACATGACTGAACATCGTAAGTGGATTCCGAGTGTCTCATCAAAAATAGCACTTGAACAAGCGCGTAAAACAATGGTCTTGGAACTATGCTAACTATCCAACATGTTGTGGGCAGCCTCTCCAGCCTAGCATAATCAAGTAAAGCAGACGAGCTTCCGCATGAGGGTCTATTTCCTTTGCCACCAAGAATTCATTTACATAATCTTTGCTCGACGATCAGTGGAAGAGCAGAAGGTTGCACAAACTTTTTAGCAGATTATGGTTGTGGACAAAAACTGTTTCCTATACATTGAGATTTTCTACAGTAGGTTCATAGGTCAACCAAAGGTAATTAATTCGATGATTGTATAAACCGAGCAAAACGGCAAAACGAGCATACACAAGTCTCGGTAAGTGCCAGCTTCGAATTTTCAAACTAAAGTTCCATGATCTCACAATTAGATTGAAAACCCCATTTCATCATGACTCTGATAAAAGAGAAAATTTATTTTTACAAAATTTTGGCAAAAAAGGTGAACGTGAATTCAGCTTATCAATGCAATAAAAAATACTTTTAGCGATGACAGTCTTTTCTCTGCGACCTTCACCTGCAACAGCAAATCGCGTTCAGAAAAGAAAGATGATTGAATTTATGTACCCCACCTTGATACTTTAATCTTTCGCTCAATTACAAACTGAAGCGCGATAATCATCAAAACTTACTACTTAAGCTTATTTATGCCAAAAAATGAGGAGAGCCAAGGATTTAGTTCGGTTTCTCACTAAATGAGATGATTTGAGCGTTTTATTAGACCAAAATAAAATTCTGCAACTTATTCAAACTCTCCTTCATACTCCGAACCAACCCAATTGGTTTGATGATCGTCTATAAAATACCAAATCGAAGAAGAAGAATTACGGCATGTGACTTTTTGAAACTTCACGTAAAATAATTAAAATTAATAGAACTACATATTAGGCTGAAAACTAAGTTTTGCAAATGCTTTCATAACTTAACTCTCTTTGAACATGTTGCGCACAAACTTTGGCTACATGTAGACCTCAATGTGTTCTATCTACAATCATGCGCAAACCGTTTAATTTTTAAGAACGAGTAAAAAAACTTACAAGCATTTTTTCAAAAATAGTAAATTTCGAGGATTTATGAGGTTTTAAGGGAAAATGAAGCCGTTCGCAACCCACATCATGCATAATGATCCGAAACTGTATGTGAATTATTGCTTGAGGTCGACTGATTTGGCTCAGTAGGAAAGGAATAGATTTGAAAGACAAGTCGAGTTCTAACGCCCTCACAAAGTTGAAGTACACAAGGCTGGTGGGTACAACCATCAATGACTAAGGAGTGGGAACCTCAAAATCGCGGAGACTTCATATATTGAGCTTATCCGACCTGCTAAACACGAATATCATTTTTGTTTGTCAAACTAAAGTATTTTCTATTGTTTACGGTGAGATCCCATACCGCTAAACTACAGTAATCTTTCGAAAAGCCCTTACCATGCAAATTTAGCATGTTATTCGTGATTAGCATGTCGGAACCTCCCCCCCCCTCTACGCCAAGTTTCAGCCAAATTCGTAATGATTTGCAATTTTCCCCTTTATACTACATAACTACCGTAATCCTCACTGCGACGTCAAAAGTTGG